AGCAGGTTTTCTGAAGCACCAAGTAGCTGACTACTCCCCACCAGCAGCAACAGGAGCTGCCAACAATTCAGAGTCAGCAGGCACCCAAATAAACCCTGAATCATCCAGGCACCCAAATAAATGCAAAGTTTCAATGCCAGTTTATAAAAGCTGAGGGTGAGATGTACCAACATCCTCACGGACACTTATACCACTGTCCAAGCACTGGATTTTACCAACTTTTCCTCAGACTAGATGCTTGTGAGAAGGCTGCAGAATTTTAGTTTTCATTCCATTTTATTCCTGAATTCCATGTTATTTCTAAATTATTTATTTGGATGCCTGGATGATTCAGGAAACCATTTTTGACAGTCTGGGCCACAAAAGGCATATACCAGAAGCCACAAAATGTTCAAGCTTCCTATTTCTTATAACTGAAATAGTTACATTTTAGTTCACTGCTTATGTGAAGTTTGTAAGAAAGAAATGATGCATCCTACAGGTGCAGTGTCCATCATATCCTGTATTCCATACATGCTGTTCAACAATCCAAACAAGCATCTGCATGGATATTTTTGAGAAAAGAAAGCTTTCTTAGTTGGGGGGGGAGGAGGGAGGAGAGGAGGGGAAAATGAGGCAAGTCCAATGTATAAGCTAAAAGAAAGGTATGAATTCCTAAGAGGACCCTTCTAAAAGGCTCCATCTTTTGCTCTGAAGTCAGTAGGAGTGTTAGACAGGATAGGATAGCAGGACCAGGCCCTAAATAATTTAGTCTTAACATTTGGGGGTCTCTCTCATTCCAGTGCGTGTTCCCGAATGGCATACAACACAACATAGTTGAATCCAGTTTAATATTCTCCCTCCTACCTCCTAGATACACCCACCCACCAAAATCATGCCTTACAGAATCTACATATGTATCCAAAAAGTAAACCACAAATACTGATCATGTACCATTTTGTAGATACTGCTCAAGTTGAGACCTCCTCTCACCCGCCATAGACTTGGTCATTGCTAGGTAAAACTTCGGAGGGAAAGTAGGCACACTGCTTCCAAAGATGCGCCGTAACTACAATGAGAGTTAAAATAAAGTGTAAAAGTTAGCGAAGACCAGCTCATGCTTCTGAAGACCTAATAGTACAATAGTCATATTGTAGCAGAGTGCACCCAGTCTAAGGAAAGAATGGAAAATATCCATTCACTATAGCTGGAAGGTTAGAGGCATTTCGCTCACAACCCAGTCAATGAGAAACAATACAAGTCAACCACTAGATTCCCTTCAAAAGCACTCAGAGGGCTCCATTGACAGCCAACATTGAGCATGCTGCCTTTTTTCATTCTACTTTTACACAACGTCAGATCAGTAGCTCTGAAATGTTTCAGTTCCATCAGGAAGATCACACTGTGTCTAACTCACTGTGTTTGGCTAGGGATAGACATTACACATAAACTGGTTTAAGTGATCAGAAACTGGTTTAAACCTGTAACAGAACAGACGTTCAGTGCACACAAACCAGTTTGAAAATGGCTGAAACCAGTCTGAGATAAGGCTGATGCTACATTCAACCAGGTTTAACCGATTTGGCTCAAACCAGTTTATAAAATGTCTGTCCCGGACCCCTTCCTAGTTTAAGTTAAACCAGAGTCCCCCAGCATCCCAGATGCTTTGTAGCCCTGGGCCAGGCTCTCTGCTCCAGAGAGCTGGGCTGGCCCCACCCATCTGCTCCCTGGCTGGAGCTCAGCAGAGGCAGCAGGGACAGCAGTGTCTGCCTGGCTTTCCTGTGCCCCCTCCCCCACCCCACATCCCTACCATGTCCTGCTTCAGCAGGGATTCACCCCCTCCCCTCTCCTAAAGCACAGACTAGAGCCAATATGTGTTATGCTAGTTAATGCTGAGAGATGTCTGTGTAAGACAGATAGGACAAAGGCAGACAAGACAGTGTCCACTTTGGAGCTAATCAGCAGGTCAGCTGGTCTCTCTGTTCCTTCCTTGGAAAAAGTTGTTTCCAGGAGCAGTGAGGGTGGGGAGGACCCCTCCCTAAACAGAGCATCCTGCCAGGGCCTGGCTATGCCCCCCCAACTCATTTCAGCATTGTGGAAGGGAAGAGAAGGCTACTTTAGCGCCCCCCGGATTCTAGCCTGACCCACTGCAGGCACGTGCCTGTATTTTTTCAGTCCAGAGGGGATGTCTATATGGTTACAAACTGGTTCAGCCTAGCCAGGCTAGATTAACCTGCAAAGATTGAATCAATTCAGGCTTAGGCTTTCTGAATATCTGTCCCTAGCCTTTATGTACTACAGCTTGGATTTTTCATAAGATTGGATTCCTAGCCCTCCCGCTCCACTGTGAAGATGAGGGCTTGCAAACTAGCCAGAGGTATACATAACCTCAAACCAGCCAGGCAGGACCACAGAGGTACTTCAGCTGCTTCTGGGACTTTTGCTTCAAAGGACACCAGTCAGCTGCACTAGACCATGGCTGTGCCTTAGCCAATCAAAGAAACAGCACCCTTTGAAGTAACAGCACCCTTTGCAGCAACTGGCTGAACAGCTTTTATCAACCTACTCTAAAACAAGCAGGTTGCGAGCTAACCATATACAAGTAGTCTGGGTCCAGCTGTACATTTTACAGACAAGTGCCATAAACCTACCAACCACACACACACTTTTATTGATTTGCAATACTGCAGGTATAGAGCAAATAAATCCTCACTATTAGAAAATACTAATTTATACTTCCCCCCCCCCACAAACTCAAAGAAAAGGATCCAAATGATATGTCAATCCTCAGAGGCCTTCCTTATATCACTAGTTATCATCACATACTCTGGAAGAGATTTAAGCGTTTCTTGGAGGCGCTTTTCCTATCCTAGAGGCTGTTGTTGCATCTTACAGACAGCTGTTTTGGCTAACAGCAGACATGTTTTCCTCCAAGGAGGTTGTGTCTTTAGCATTTTCACTCCAAGCTACAATGAGCTCAGCAGGATGTTCAGCTTTTTTTAATAAAACCTGTGCTAATCTAATGTGTTGCATTACAAAATACTTTGTTCAGGCAGTTACTTCTGACTAGTTGCATGTTCATCCCCCTTAAAATGATCTTCCCTGGAGTGTAGATAGCAAGTAGAGAAGAAAAATGACAGAAAAATGGAAGAAATACGATCTCCTTAATTTAGATGAATTAAAACACTACACTTCTAACCTGGCATTTGGACAATGCAGTGAGAGTCTTGCAGCACACAGGAGGAAGGTATACCAAACTAAGAAAAGAAAATAAGAAAACAAATATCTGTTTTCAAGCTACAGCAAATGCAATTACTGTTGCCAGGCACTGCAAGAGCTGGCAGTTTTCCTCAAGGGCCAGTTCCTGGAGCCAAGTGAAAGATAAACATTTTTTTAAATAAAGGAAGAAAGCCAAGAGTCATTTCTAGCCATTGCAGTTGCCCAGAAACACTGGAAAACAGGACTTGAATGAGCCCTACAGCATCAAAGCCAGATGACAAAATAAAAGGAAGAAAATATTATTTTGAAAAAAATATCATGATTTTTGAATCCTTGGGACAACAGCACTGATACTGATGAAACCCAATACTACTGCTTTCAACTCTGCCCTGCTCAGAGCATGGCCACATGTTCCCTAATACTGGAAGTCTTCCTGTTTTCACAGCCTCTCCCAATCCTTTTTTTTTTTTTTTTTTTTTAAAATCAATCATTTTACCTCAATATTTTTTTTAAAGAATTTTTTTGTGTTCCAAGCCAAATCAAGTCCAAATCCGTGAGTCAGTCCAGAACTATAAGTGGCCCTACAACTGGCAAACGTCCTCCACCCAACCCACAGCTTCAAATATTGCTAGTCTTTTGGCAGGCATCCTATGTGCAGGCCCAAGCCTGAAGGCTTGGGGTTTGGAGGCCCCCAAGTTTTGCCTGCCCTTAGCCACATGGCCACAGGAGCAAGCTAGGGAGGAGCCTCCCCCCATTTCCATAAAGGGAGCTTTAAGCCCCAACACCCCAGCAGGTACTAAACCATGCCAGAAGAACAGTTATCCCCAGGAACACTTAAGGAAAACTGCCTTCATGGATCCAGATACATGGTGTTTCCCCTGCCAGGTGTAAGTCATCCAGAGGCTACTAGAAGGCAGGCAGGTAATTATGACAGTAAGCTACCTGCAAGCACATGCACCAAGACCCACCCATTTATTATAGCAAGGACTTCTGGAATAAACAACAACGCAGGGTGAATTTCCTCTTGAAGTTAAACATTTTAGGCGCACAGAGATCACAAAGCATTATCTCTGTTTGATAGATCAGGACGCAGAGGGAGAAATATCACCTCTGGTTTTACCAGGGATGGAATCAGACTCAGAACTAGAACAAGGAATTCCTGCCTTCTTTGTGTGCCTTCACACCACGCTGGTTCACCCATGCAAAGCAGCAGTACCCATTATCCCTGGTTGGCACAAACGAAAAAAAACACAGACTACTCAGGAAAAGTTTAAACCAAGCAGAATATTTACTCACTTCAAAGATGAATGCTTGAGAACTTTTAGTTTTAAAAGTTAAGCTCCATGTGTCTTATGGCTTTCAGGAGTAAGAGAAATTTAGCTGAACAACCACACAGACGTTCCGCAACCAGGTTATAGGCAGATAAAGAAGTGCAGTGTGACAGGGTGGCCTGTCTGCCCGCAAGCACTAATCCAACACAGCTAAAAAACTGGTTGCTTCCAATACACTTAAATCCCAAAGACAGGGCCCATTTTAAATGCAAAAAAATCAGTACCTGGCAAAGCTGTGTTCTAGGAACTGCAGGCTGTGGGCCTGTCTCTCCAGCTCTGGCAGAACAGGCACCACCCCCAAAGGCTGATTCAGGCCATCTCTCTCAAGGCCTCAGCTTCACACAAAAATGGCTTCAAACATAAGCCATTTCAGCCATGGCTACTGTGCGTCACAGAGGTAAAAGTTTAGGGCAAATGAAGCATTTGAGATATAATATCTAATCTGGAAGCAGTAGTCAGAACAGCATCCCTGGGAGGAATCATGAAGGTGTCATGAACTTTCCATAAAAGAGGAATGGGGAAGGTGTTAGGCGATTGATGAAAAGTTTAACAAGGCCTATAATTTTACATTTGATTGGAAGTACTTAAATCTATTTTTGTTATGGACAGCTATGCACAAATATTTTCACCTACAAGTGACATAAGTTTAAAGTCAGTCTGTTTCACAGCTGGCTAAACAATGTTGAAAAACAAATTTATTTCAAAATTTAATTCCTTCATGCCCAATTACTTTTGTGATTCATTGATTTCTAAATGTATTTTATACCAGCTGTTTATAAAAGACCCATATGTTCCTCAGCTGATTCAGTAAAGATTAGTGCTGCGATTAAAATCAGTCACCATCATATTTCTGTTGTTACTATTTTACAAGTCTGCCTTTGTTTACTTGATGACTGAAAATAAATACAATCATTAACATTCAATACTATGAGGAGGGCATTTTCCCTGGTTTTACAACTTCATTCAAGTTTGATGTAGGTGAAGAATCCCCCCCATCCTGCACCCAAGTCAAAGAAGCCAAATGACACCAGTTTTTCAAAGCTGGAAAACAAGAAGAATTTACCCAAAACCTCCTTGCCAAGATATAAATGTTATGTTATAATGAAACCCATCAACTGTCTCAATTCAGAAACAATCTTCCTGAATGACTTGCACTAAATCCTTTTCCAAGAAGGAGAGTTTAGTTTGTCACTTCTGATCTTCCACAAAAGTAGTAATTTTTCTTATACCTCAGATGAAAGGCATAGCTATACTAGTAGGTGCTTACTACCAGTCTATAAGCTTTTCAGGTTCCAACCTAACAGCTAGATCCCAAAAAGGTTGAAAGCTTAAGTCCCATTGGTCTGTCCTTGGACATGATTCAAACTAAACAGCGGATCCTCAAAACATACCTGCACTACTACTGTTAACCCTTCAGAGACTCCCTCTGACATTTCCCCCCCTGCTCTCTTCCCCCTCCCTTCCCTGATTTTCCTTTTGTCTTGCTTATCTCTACCTATTTACATTTGCACTGACATCC